AAATGCATTAGTTAGTCCCAGATTTACTTTAATTACACAAAGTAAAATTAAATTAATTTTATTTTTAAATCTACCTATGTAGTTTAGAACAGACTCGATTTATGATTAATAAATTATATTTACTTATTTTTTTAATAAAAAAATAATGATGTTAGGTACCTACTTTAGAAGATTTTGTATTTACCAACTATAGTTTTATTAATTAATGCTATTTTTTAAAACTATACTAAATCTATAATATCATTTATTTTATATGTCTACCTAAATAATAATATCCATTCTGAATAATGAGCGTACATAATCAATATATATGTATAATATTTCAGGAATTTTCCCAAAGGGTACCTACGTATTTATATTTAATTTTTTCTACATGTTGCCTTGCTTTATTTTATACTCTTAATGATTTTGCTTCTGTTCAAAAAAATTTTATATCTTAAAAAAATTAAATGTTTATATAAACTGAATGTCTTACAATAAATGCGTGATATACTAAGATTCTTGCTTATTATTTATTTAAATAGGTTAAGATTGTATACTTTTATTTTGTCTAGTTTATAGACCACCTATACCTTGTACATATAGTTGTTCAAACATTTTATATTATTATCTGTTTTTTTTGCCGGGTTGCATGAAAAATTAATTAATTTAATGTCCAATACAATTTAATGGACCAATCAGGGGCCATTAAATTATGTTTAAGGGACCATTAGTGCACATTTGATTCATTAAATGCTTATAGTCATTGTTCATGCAACCCGGCGTTAGAGTTGTTATTATTAGCACAAATATACATTTTAACTTATAAAAATGATAGATACCTTACCCGGCATTTGCATATTATTTTGCAGTAACTGAATTAACATACTATTTACATAGGTTACTACTTATTTATAGGTAATTAGCTATAGCTACTGTATGTCTGACTACAGGGGCGGACTGGGACCCAGTCGGCTCACTATTAATGAAAAAAATGCATAGGTATAAAATTCCAAGACTGAATATCTCTCTTGTATTTTTGGGTCAACTAAATAATATATTATTATAATTAACAACTGCCGGTCAACAAATAAAACTATAAAATCCTATCCATTGATAACTGAATGATGGCCCCTGGCAAAAACCGGGTAACCCCAGCTAGTAGCCCTATATAATACAACTAGCTGTCCCGACGTATTAGCCAAAACCGCGAACGTCTAACTCTAAAGGCACCGGAGATAACTTCCACATCCCTTTGGGGTAAAAGTTCGTACGGGACGCTGTTCGGTACACGGTAAAATGTGGGGAGGGGGGTAGCCAAAACCACGAACTTCTAACTCCAAAAGTGTCGGATAAGAAATAAAACCGTATACTTATACTTAAGTTAAATGGTTCAAGGTCTTTAATTCACTTAACTTCACTACACTTACACTTCACACTTCAATTTACATAGGTATCAGTGTATCACTTAGGTCACAACTAAATAATACTGATGGATACGGTGTACCAAAATTCGCCTTTTAGACCTTGGCTTGAAGATCGACGTTAACGAATATAAGTTAACATTTTATACGACGTCACTCTCTATTCTCGAACATTGTGGATCTTTCTAGAAAATTGTATAACTTTCTTTTTCACAATTATAACAATACAAATATACTGAGGGCCTTAGTCGAAATAAAAACTATCCTACCTTTTAAGTTGGACCAAATTAAACACAGTGTAAAAAATGTCATCAAGATCGGTCCAGTAGGTACCTACTTTCGGAGTTCATCCCGGACAAACATTGTAACACGGAATTTTTATAAATAAGATTAATATATTTTTTGTAAATTATTAAACAACCTGAATTTCATATAAATATACCTTTATATTTTGCATTTATTATTTCGATTTTTTTTACGTTATTTTTCAAATGTTAGAGCATTATTTCAGATACTTATCGCGTAACATACACAAAAAAAATACACTCATCATTGTGAAATCAATGGATATGATCAGAATTTAAAATTAAACACTCATATAAATAATATGCACTTAGTACTTCTATGTACTTCTATTTAAATATATAAAAATATATTTATGAGTTTGAATCAAACATTTATAATATTTTATTTACCTAGTGAAGTAAATTTTCATGAAAATTGTTTATTCAAAAAGTTGAAAATTATGAAAATTTTATAATTTCCTATCAAATAAATGATATTATATATAAGTTATAAATTTATAATATATTTAACCTAGATAATTATGTTTAAAACTCTGTACTTGTATTACCATTTACCGATGTTAATATTATTTTAAAAGTATGTAGGTCTCCAAAATACAAATAAATTTATCTCGGTAATAAATTAGCATTTTAATTTGCTGTTAAAAAATGTGTAATTTTACTACAGTATAAATTATGAGTGTATATAGGTAAACATTTTTCTACATTTATTGATTTTTACATTTTTTAATATTTATTGTTTGAGTTATTTCCACAATTTTACACAAACTGTTGGTAAGTAAACGATAAAATTTTCAAAATATTTTGATTTACATTTTCAGTTTCCAATTTTATTATATTAGTCTTTTTTCTATGAATGTCAATAAAACCATATTTGTTATTAAAATAAAATTTTCATTTAAAACAAGGCTTCTACTATATTGTTACAATGACATTTGAAAAATATTAAAAATCCTTAATCACAGTTTTTTTTTATAAGCATTTAAAGTTCAAATCTTGATAAAACACTGAAAAATCACGAAAATTAGCAAACTATTTTGAGTTGATAATTCATACAATTTTTTTTTTAAATCTAAGAGTTTAAAATGTCATACAAAATTATTCATATGTTTTTCTACCTTTATCGAAAAAAACAAATGTCTACAAGCAAATAAAATTACATTTTTATAAGCGTTTGAAGTTCATAATTCTACAATATTGGATATTCACTCGATTTTGTTATTTTATATGTAAAAGAATAACTGTAGATACACAAAAATTTCTCTGAATGTTTATATTTTCATTTTATTTACACCATCAAATTTTCAAAATATTTTGACTCTTTTTGAGCCGATTACGAGCATTGTTAGTTTTCAATATTTTTGTGAAAATACAAGGCTCCTGATATATTGTTACAATAGCAGTTGAAAAATATTAAAAACACATAGGCACACATTTTATTTAGTATTCACAGTTATTTAATTCCTAATCAAATAATTAACATTTAACTTACATATCAATCGTACAACCTCAAAAAATAATTATTTTTAAAAGAAAAATACATTAAAAAACAAATGTTCAAGCTTACACTTTAGTTTTACCTATAGTTAGTATTGCATGCCCCCTGGTATAGGTAAATTAGGTGGGGGGATTTAGGGGCTAAGCCAAATGTCAATAGCCTACACAAACATCTAATTTTTTTTAAGCTCACACAATATTATTATAGTATTGCTGCTAAGCCCTAGGCGGCTAGGCCGTTTAGGAGGGCAGGAGGCTAACCACCTCCTCACAAAATCTGATACGTTACTAGCGCCTATGCTCACGGCTTAACATGATAAAATATGCAGTTGCGAAAGCAGAATATAGAACCCTCATTTTGAAAAGAGAAATTTGGCGTCAAAATTTAAATAATTTTAAGGGAGCTCTGATTGGCTCGTGGCTCACCAAGTCACGCGCCGTGGGAACGATATGACATTATAGGCTCGTGTTATGCATAGTATAATACTATAATTGCGCCTTCGGTAATGCAACGCTGTGGATACGTATTGCCATCGAAATGATAAAACATGTTCTAAAATGCATCGTATTTTCAAGCTATAACGTTCTGAAATTCAGCGCATCGAATGCGTTGATGCATCGGAACATCGTAGTTTCAATCATAACGAAAGGGTTTTCGTCTGATGGATATGCGCTTAAAATCACTGATAAGGCCCGTTATCACTGAAGGTGTTCTAAAATAAATCGATTTTTACCGATTTCATATTTTCATGTAGCATACTGGATTTCCATCATGAATTGCAGCGTTACATTACCGAAGGTGCAATTATTATTTATTGATGGATAGAACTACACGGGAGTTTACCAATTGCGCTCTAAAAATTTTCACTACCTACCTAAGGAAAAGTTATTAGTTAGTTATAAATTATAATCATATAGGTAATAAATTATTGCTCTAACCTATTTTTTGCGAGTATTAATGCATAATACATAATATAATATAAATAAATAAACAATTTTTTCTTCACATTTAATAAGTTAATTTTTGACCACACTAACGTTATTCAGGCCGCAGTAATCTTGAATACTCCAAATTATATTATACAATATCTATAGTTGAAAACATTATCTGTGAAATATCATTTTTATTCATTTGATATCACCTTTATTCATCTATACGAAAAAAGTTCTTGTTGTTTCAAAATCCGTTATTTTTGTGTTTTTCAAACTTTTATTGTATTTCCGATATCGAAAAAATAAAAACGATATTTCACAGCCAAAGTTCTACTTTATATGTGGTGAAAATTTTCCACAGATATGTATCTACAATATATAAATATATAATAATAATTTATATAATATAAATTATAATTTATAATAGTAAATAATATCTGAAATTTGAGTTTAACTTTCCTAAAAACCTAACCGATACACAGTGGTTTGATAATAATATCGATATCAGATAAATGTGATTAGACTAGAGAAATATCGTTGGGAAGTAAAGATAATAGATTTAAGATTATAGATATAATTTCATTATTAATATTCTTTTGGTATATTTGTTTACAATTATTATAATATAATACAACCTATAATAGGTTTTGTCGGATTTTAGAGTTTCGTCTTACAACAAAATAATCTCTATTGTATTCTATTATTGTTTCATCTTCTTCTTATTTTTGCGGTTCATAGAATGTTCGGATTTCAAATATTCAATTAATGTTGCTCTTTTCTATTACTCGACAAATCATGTAGTTTTTTTAAAGTGTAATTGGTATACTTATTTACAGTTTTTAGTATTTAAACATTATTAAGTATGGATCATAGTGTGTGTTACATTTCTGACAGTCAGTTAATTAAAGAATGCTGCAAAATTCCAAATATTTCAAAAAGAGTAAGACCTGATAAGTAAAAATATAAATAATAACTATTATTTTAATTTGAATTATATAGCATTTTACGGCATTGATTTTAAATTAATTATCATGTTTACTGTGCTAACTGTGATATAAATTCATATATTTATATAATAACTTACATTCTTAGGCGCTTAATCATAAATGGGATTAAAATTTTTCAAATTACATTATTTACATTCCAGATTGGGAAAAATACAACATTTCATGTATTTCAAATATAAAATACATCAAATTTGAAATAGTGAAATAAAAAATAAATAAAATTTTATGAAGGATGTAGTTTAAAAAAAATTATATTAATTATAACAATTACAATATAGGTATGCATAGTAAATGTAGCAATATTAATCACATTTCCTAAAAACAATGATTTAAAAATGAGAGTTTTTCATTATATTTCTCATCTTCGATTCATTATTCTGTTGTTCTACCTATAGGAAAAATTTACATTCTATAATTTTTATTGTAAATAATAATTTACATCAACATACATTCTATAACCAACCTTTTATTTTCTTTAATCACATCATTTCATCAAAAATAAGTATTTTCATCAAATAAATGTTGCAAATTATTTTATTTTTTAATACATTATTTTCAATTTTCAGGCCTATTTAGTTGATAGTCTCATTAAGGCATATCATCTATCTGATCACATGGATGTACTTAAAGTGAATCCTTCGTCATATGAAGATCTTATAGGATTCCATTCTAGTGCATATGTTGATTTCCTAAAAAAATTAAATGACAACAACTGTTCTCTCTCGGATATTGAAGATGAATATGGAATAGGTTATTAATATTATTGAATTATATTGAAAAAATAATAAAAATAACTAATATTATCATTTTTGTACTGGACACTAATATGTAATATTCTGATTACGGGTTGTATTTAAATTGTTTGATACTAAACTTCTCTTAAATAAGACCGTAAATATTATACCACTTCATAAACTGTTCAAATTATAAACTAATCGCATGTATAATTATTAAATCAATAAATAATTAATTAATATTTTGAAGGAAAGAATAAACAGTTTTGTACTATTAGTTATATTAGCCAAATCATTAGATTTAAATAATATTATTAAAATATATATATATTTATATATATTTTTTTTAGGTTATGATTGTCCAGTTGTAAAAGATATATGGCAATTTATTACATATATCTCTGGTGCTTCGTTAACTGCTGCAAAAGCATTAACAACTATGCAATGCAGATATTCCATCAACTGGTGTGGGGGTTGGCATCATGCACTAAGGTTTAGATGTATTTTATTAATCATTATTAAAAATATAACTACTTATAACACATTTTTAAAAAGCAATTTAATTTATGTTTTTCTATTTTGAATAGAGATTCTGCTCAAGGTTTTTGTTATGTAAATGATATAGTCCTTGCCATTGAAATGTTAAGAAAAACATTTGGGAAGGTGTTATATATTGATATTGATGTTCATCATGGTAATAATTTTTGTATTCTAATTTATTTTCATGAATATTTCTTCCTTTGTTTATCAATCAATTTCCATATTAATAAAGATTTTGTATTTAGGCAATGGTGTTGAGTATGCATATATGGCTACAGACAAAGTTCTTACGCTTTCATTTCATCAATATGAACCGGGTTTTTATCCTACAAGTGGATCATTGGATGATATCGGAATAGATAAAGGAAAATATTATACTGTAAATGTTCCACTTAAAGAAGGGATAAATGATGATAAATACATAACAATGTTTCAAAAGTAATATAAACAACTTTTCAATTCATAATAATATGTTCAGACTACAAAAAATATCATGTTTATTTGTTTATTTAGAATTAGTAATATGGTGAATAGTTCCTACAACCCAAAATGTATTGTTGTCCAATGTGGAGCGGATAGTCTAGTCGGAGACCCAATTGGTGGATTTAACTTGACACCAAAAGCATTAGCGGAATGTGTGAAAAACGTAATGAAATGGGAAAAACCTACATTATTTCTTGGCGGAGGTAATTAATGTTTTAAAAAATTGAGTATCAAAAATATAAATTAGTTATTTCATTAATCTGGTTACATTTAAACTATCTTTCAATGTACTCATGTTGCAATGAATCTCTGAATATTAGGTGAGGTGTTAGGTAAGGTTACTATTTAATATTTGACTTTAAATTTGAAGAAATAATTGTCTTTTGGTGCATAATATTTCACATTAAATGCTGATTATTACCATTTAAAGTATTTATAATATAGGTATTATGTTTTTTAAGGAATATTATTGTTTTTTATATTAAAATGTAAAACTTTGTATTAGGCGGATATAATGAAGCAAATGTTGCACGTTGTTGGACATATTTAACTGCAATTATAACTGGACAAGATGATTTATTGTCAAGTGATATACCAGATAATGAGGTAAATGTAAAAAATATATTTACATAAAAGGTATTAAGTTGATTGAAAAATCATCATTATATGTTTAATCAGTTTTTACCAATGTTTACAAACATTCACTTTTTACTAATGCCATAATATGATTTATTTTAAATAGGGCAGAGGACTTGTAGCTCTAAAAAAACACTAAATATGCAAGCACTTACGCACTAAATCCCATAATAGGTATGCACTTAAAAATTTTTTCCAATTTTTTTTTTCTTAAAATCATAATCGAATAAACGCCTGCATGGGGCGCACACGGCTCTCTATGGTGTTGATGCCGTATGGTGTATGACGTTAGATCGTAAACGATTTTTCATGTATTAATAAAATTAATTACAGCAAATTATATTATTGGCTTATCGGCGATCCTTAAGCACTTCTCTCAAACGTTTGCCAACGTGTGCTCAAACGTGTGGACAGTCAATTATATTATACGACAAACATTTTTAAATTTTTTATCCGAACATTTTGACTGTATTGTTTGAAATAAAAATTTCGCTGTAGAAAAAATTTATTTAATTTAATTATGTCTCAAAAAGTATAAAATTGCTTATAAAAGTATAAAATATGCCCTAAAAACAAAAAGGACTCAAAATATGCATATAACTAATTTATGTTTTTTTATATTATGCAAAATAAAATTTCAAAACTAGATTTGTGAAAGCATGAAATGTATTTGTTTGGTATTCTGCTATTTTTGTGACTGTAAAAACTGATATACAAATGCTACAAGTCCTTTGCCCTAATTATAAATAATGTCTTGTTTTAAGAACTAAATATATTCAAAATTTTTATTTTATTTAAAAACATTAATTCTGTTTCAGTATTTTTCGGCTTATGGTCCAGACTTTACTTTTGATATCAATCCAGGAAATCGAAAAGATTTTAATTCATTTAATAATTTGAATCACATTTTCAGTGTTATTGCAAGTAATAATATTTTTGTATTAATTTTTATTTGATATTAATTATGTATAATATTTAAAAATGATTAATTTTCTTTATTTTTAAGATAACATGAAAATAGTAAAAGAATTAGTACGCAAGCAAGAAAAATAATTCAAGATTAAAACTGTATTTCTTAAAAAAAAATAGGTATTTTAAAATAAAGTTGTGATATATATGAACATATTACTCATACTTACATTTTTTTAATACCTGATTTGATTTTAAATTTTGGTCCAAAACCCAATAAATGTTATCCACCCATATTATACACTATTTTTTTAAAAATATTTCTTATTGTATAGAATTATATATAAATACAAAGATTTTATATTAATAACTTGGTGCATTATAAATCTATCTTGGTCACAAATAATACATTCAGATTATGTACCTATTTATAAATATTACATTATAATACATTTTAGATCTATAGAACATACCATGTAGCAGAATGATGATTTCATATTATCATTTCAAAAATGTTAACTACCCACATAAATACATAATTGGATTAATAATGATTATTTAAATATATTCCGTAATCACCTATAGTTATGTTATAAAATATTATTTTATTAAATATTGACACCGCCAGATATTTAATTAATTTATTCACCAAGCAAATGTTATATATTTAAATTATATTATTTTGTTATTGATTTGGTGATATAATAATTGACTTAATGAGTAACTTAAATATTTAACAATTGTTTTTGAAATATTTGATACCACAAAGGTAATAGGAACATGATACTGTTATCTATGTTCTTCTTGTCTGTTATTTTGTAAAAGCCGTCTGGCGTTGATTATAATAAATAATAATAATAATAATAATAATGAATAATTTTTAAGTATACCAATAGTAATATACTAATATACTAAAAATAATACACATATTTCTATTGAAAATGGAGCAGTAGTTAAGTACTCTGATAAGTGGTTATACTCTGTAATATTATGTTGCTTCACATCAGACTATCATCTTCCTAAAATTTAAAATAAAAAAATAATGTATTGCTATTGCCAAGGTTCAGCTCTGCAGACAGTATCTGTCACTAGTAAAAGGAGAGAAAGTATATGGATGGCAGGACTCTGAGGCTAAAAATTGTAACTTATTACTTATTACAGATATCTGATATCTTATTGAAATTTGAAATGTAGTTTAAAAGGGTCACATTTAACACCTTTATGAGGATTAAGGCTTTTTTTTCTTATTATTAGTTATATGGTAATATATTTAGTGATAAATAACTAGACAACTACGACAGTGCCATTGATAAAATAAAAATTTTTAATTATACACCTGTTGGGTATTACCTATTTATAATAATTTTTAATAATACATCAAATACATTAATTTATGAGTATTATTTAATTCTTCATTAAAACCACTTTTCAACTTAATTTACATTATCCACTTTTAATATAATATTATTTAAAATATATTGATGTAGAGTGGCAAAAACGGTACAGTGCATACTGCAGTAGCAATGTTGCCGGTAGAGCGCATAAGACAAGATAACCAAGGGACACTACCTATCAGGCAAATAATATAATTTTATATATCAACCAAGCTTAACTTAAACAGTTAAACACAAAGTAAAAACTGTTGATTTGTTGAAAGCAAAAACAGCCTTAGACAATATCGCTTGGTTTTTTTAATTTCCACTGTCACAAGTTGTAAGTTTGTAATCACTAAATTTTTCCTTTTTTTTTAAAAAAAAATTATTAGTTTAGTTTAACATATTTACATTTTTAATGTTGAACAAAATAATGTTTTAATACTGTAGAAACCTATTATGTTATAATTTACTATTTCTATTATACATTTACTAATTTAGATATAAGATATAATCTTTGATATAAATTATAAATAATTAATAAAGTAGAAAGACAAAATATATAAAAGACTAACAAATAAAGGGTATATAATCAATAATCATAATGTTATGTTGCTCCCACTACAGTTGTTTCCTTATAATTTATATAATGGTGCTACATATAAGTTTAGAAATAATCTTTATTTAAGTAGGTAATTTCAGGATACCTTCTATAGTATTGAAACTTAGTGATTCTGTGTTGATGTCAATGTTGTGATCATTTTTTAAATGCTTGGACAAACATTTTAATGTTTTATAAGACCTGTCACAATTCTCAAATGAACAATTAATTTTTAGTTCACTATGTTCGTGTTTCAAATGTCTGATAATATTTTTTTTTTTTATTAAATTTTTGATTGGAGTTGTTACAAGTATAACCATTTTTCTGTATGCGATTAACCTTATAAATTATTATATTATATTATATTATGTATTCAAAATACAAGATGACATAGGTATTCAGACATATTTTGTATAAAATAAATCAAAATAAAAAAAATTGGTATTTTTAATCAAACAATTTTTGTGTTTAATTATGGCCTAACATTTATAAAACTTGATATTATAATATGTACCTGTGGTAAAATATCTGTATGTTTTTTTTTTTAAATGTTTATTTAAATTAGATACTGTTGAAAATTTAGTATTACATAAAACACAATCTCTGGAACTCATTGCACTAATAATTTGTATTGTAATATTAAATAATCATAAAAATAAAAATAATTGTATAATTAATTTTATACAGTCAGTTTAGACAAAATGCAAGTGCAATTATTATTTTCATATAAATTTTATCTTATAATAATTGGGATTTTCTTTCTTATAGAAATAAGTAATATTATACTATCTTATAATAATAAATAATAAAATGTTGATAAACTTAGTTTTATTATTATAAAACTGGTTATTTGTTATTTAATGTGATCTCAGGTATCATTAATACCTATACATAATATTGTGTAACAATTACAGTTACTGACTATAAATGCTTAGATAGACGAAGAAGTTTTTAACACCAACGCAGAGACAAGCACCATTCTTCACAATTTACATCGCTTTAATAGTTGTTCAGATTGTTAACTTGACGTTAAGAAATAAGTATACTAGACAAATTGGACGATATACGATTTATTTAAAATCAAAAAGCATAATTCGTAATCAGTGATAAACTGATAACCGTTTGAAAAATGAGTACTGATAAATGTGATAACCGATTTGACGCCATGTTGGATTCTTTTGGAATTTTTCCTGCGAAGATCCATTCGTTTATCGTCGTTGGGCGAGCAAATGAGCAACTTAGATCATATACTATGGATGGAGCCACTGCGTATTATAGCAATACAAAAAATTGAAGCCGATATTAGCGACGAGTCACCGAATTAGGTGATCGATATGCGCATGCGCGAAACAACTCGTTTAATATTAATATTATAATCACCAGCTGATAAATATGCGAGAGGTTGCGTTGCGCATGCGCATATCGAACACCTAATTCGGTGACTCGGCTGGGATGAGGACAGTTATAATATTAATATTAAACGAGTTGTTTCGCGCATGCGCATATCGATCACCTAATTCGGTGACTCGTCGCTAATATCGGCTTCAAAATAATATGCAGTGGCTCCATCCATAGTATATGATCTAAGATGAGCAATAGGTCGTATCTCAAAAAAGTAAAATGTTCAGGAGAAACAAAAACGTGAACACTGATAACATGTAATCAAGTTACGTCAAAATTACAATTAAGTCTTCAATCTCCTTGGAAATTATTATTATTAATATTAATATAATTATCAAATCATGTGTTATTTTTTCCCGCTTTTTTTATGTATAAATCGCAAAATCGATTTTTCTTGAGATACGACATATTACTCGCCCAACGACGATATTCGACATCACCGAGACTGCTATTCGTAGTAGGTACAACTACTGACTGTTACACTTGATATCCGACTGTTTACAGTCAAGTGAAAGTTGATTTTAACGCGATAGCGTTAATACTAATAAAATAAGTACCTATACATTGAAGGTAATTTTATAAATTAAAAATTAATAAATAATAGTAATTTAATAGTTTTTAATAGATTATAGTAATTTTTTTATTTACGTAAATAAATAAATTTAAGAGATGAAAATATTGAATGGCCTGGAGGAAATTTATTAACCTGGCCTGAATTTTTTTCCCACCCCGCAAATGACAACAGACATAATTTTAGATAATGGTACGGAACCCTTCGTGCGCGAGTCCAACTCGCACTTGGCCGGCTGTTTTTTTTTAGTGAACGTTGATATTTATCTTAATAACTAATACAACTAATTACAAATATAGATATTCCCCTAACCGAACTATAATTTAGGTACAACGGATAATAGTTTTCTGGTACCTAGTTAGCTTATAAGACAAATACACATAAAATAATATGAGTGTTGTAAAGAAAAGGAGTTAGATAATGGGTTTAAAAACTATGAGATAAATTGATAAAAGACACATTTATGAAAAATATTTGATTTATAATACACAATAAAATAGACTTATAATTTAAAAAACATCATATTTGTTATAACTTAAAATTAAAAACATTGCTGGAATGTTGAGGTTTAAATTAATTTGTGCAATAATATGAAAACAAATCTATTACATAAAATGGAGTTGTGATTTTGATTATGTACAACAGATTTTAAATGAGGGTCTGTGACATTATACAGAATCTCATAAAGAGCACACAAATGTATACTTAGTTTAAGTAAATGTAATTTATCCATGACTGAATAAATTAAATTTATTATTGAGCGTTAATACTTTTATACATATAAAAATAAAGAGAAATATGAGTTGTTATTAGAAACACGTAACACAAACTACAAATCACAAATGTACATATTGACCGTGTTGTGTACAAAATATAATAATATACAGATAAACCGTTAATAAATTTTCAAAATCCATTAATAATTACTATAAAAATATAAATATACATATTAAATAATAAATATACATATTTTCCTATATACCTATCAAACATATAAAAAATATTAAGTTGGTACATTATGCAGTGCGAAATATACATTAACAAATGTTAATTTGTATTCCTTGCTTGTCATACATTATCAGTTAAACATGCTAATTTGTTATCCTCATAGACTGTCGTAGAAGTCAGCTACTCTTTTCTTCAGAATATCATTTGTTTTACGCAATATTTTTTTTTCTGCAAGCATTTTCTTCTCAAAACGTTTCAACAAATCACATTCTTTTTTAGCAGCTAAAAGTATACTATGTTTTGAAGGCACACGTCTATTAGAGTTCAAATAACTGCAAGATTTTCTCAGAATAGCAAACTTTTTCGCCATGCTTTCTCGGCATGCTCGTTCTTTGGCATTGTGTAACGACCTGTCTAGGGGTGTTCTAAACCTGTGTTGAGGCTGATCAATTTTAAATTGAGATTTTCCAGTCCGTGTCCGTCTTCTCTTGTTTGTGTTCAATACAGGATTATCACTGTCGGCGCTATCAGACATATCTTTTAGAACATAACAAAATGCAGTTAGTAACAATTGTTAATAATAATGGCACGTGTCGTATGCTATCTACCAAGAAAATCATATCTACAAAAATCTACGTATACGTGTCGTATGCTATCTACCAAACAAATGGATTTTATGACAACCCTTTGAATAAATGTTTGACAACCCTTTTTTACATCATAAATATTTTGTTATAATAAAATCTCCTTTCACATCAAGTTTTCAGATTTTTTTAAAGTTTCTTTCATTCCACCATTACATTGATCTCCAATAGAATTTAACTTTGTGCACAGTTTTGTATTAGGTGATAAATCACAATGTTTTAAAAATTGTATTCAAGTTTCGTCATTAAAAATAATTTTTCTATATAATTCACACAAAGTACTCATTTTATAAAGCCATAAATTTACAATTAATGAAAAACACACAACCACGACGTTGATCTCAGCGATCAACGAACACATACTAAAATCTAAAATACAAAATAACTTTGAAATTCCTTAAGGAATTATAAATATATATAATATTGACAACGTTAATACGGATTACGGTAGATACCGTAGATAGCATACAACACCGACCATTTGTTGGTAGATAGCATATGACACGTGTGCCATAATAATTAATATTATTGATGAACAAAATCATAGATACTTACATTTTTCTTTACTTATGTCATTGGCCAGCAGTTTATGTCCATCTGATTTCATAAGGCGTAAATTGCTGCTGTCATTGTCATCTACATCACTCTCACTATGTGTTTCATAAAATTCATTCCAATCATCATTATTTCCAACAGAAATATTATCATCGCTTTCTTCAGAACTTGAACTATCAAATAACTCTTCAATTAATTGTTCTTTGAGTTTTTTTATTGCAGGTTCAGGTTCAGGATTTTTTATTTCAATGTTTGGTAAAGGTTTTGGTTTTAATTGAAAATTTGATAAAGGCTCATCTTGTATATTTACTTTGATGTTTGGTGGAAGTTGATTTACAGTAATACTTGATTGATTCAGAGTAGTACTTAATTGATTCAAAGTAGTACTTGATTGATTCAGAGTAGTACTTGATTGGTTCAGAGTAGTACTTGATCTGGTTTGGTATTTTTTTATGGTATTATTTATGTTATTATCTGTCAAAACTTCAGAATTTGTTGGTTTAGTATTTATCACAGCTTCATACTTTTTTACTTGAATAGTTGGTTTATTCCTACAGCTTGCAATCTTAATGGTTGGTAGAATTTTGGGGGCTTGAGCTGTAGTAATAGATGCAATTTTTGGTTTAACATTGTAATTCAAATTAGATTTTTCTATACCATTTGAAACTAATTTGATTTTAGGCTTTAAAACAGTATCATTAGTATCCTCTAAATATTGAAGAAGTTTTTGTCGATGTTGTTTAATATTCAGTCTCAATTGCACTTTGCTATCCTTGCTTAGGCAATTTAACATTTTTAATTGGTACTGAAAAAATAAAAATAAATTATGTTCAATTTTGTATCACTAAAAATTAATTTTATGTAGGTCGTAGGTGTATTAAAATTTGTTATAGAGAAGTTCTTGAGGTAAGTGTAATTTTATGTTAAATATTCTTTAGAATTTAATGGTGTAATCCATTCTTACAAAAATAAATAATAAAATAATAATAATAAATAAATAAAATAAACAAAATATTTTACTTCATCAACTAATCAGTGGTTATCAATTTCATACCAACCACGGACTAAGATATACCTTAAGGTATAAGGTATAAGGTATATCTTAGTCCGTGATACCAACATTTTTATCATAGAATCATAGTATTCTATGTTTTTATATTAATGATAACAAAACAATATTTATTATGTAAACATTAATGACAGTCATATTATTATTATCTAATAATATAATTAATATTATTCATAATAAAATTATATAAAAGAGTAAGACAAGTATTCTATAATGTTCTGTCATTATGTTTGTGCCAGATGTACTTCAAGATCTTAACATACTCAACTGTTTAATACTTGACTAAATTAACTCCAGATTTTGTGTTTGATTGTGAATACATTAGGTGGCTATTACAATTTAGTAACAGCCTGTTCACCAACGAACAAAATAATATAAGAAAATGCTTTCGAAGTACAAGCCATGGATCAACCCTCATTTAGTTGAAAAAGTGAGTGTTGTTGTCTTTGTTCACTCATTTAATACTTTAAAAAAAATATTAAAAACATTTAATAAGTAAGTAGGTACCTTCAGTTTACGTGTAATGTACAATTTTATTTTAAAAAATGACAAATTATATGTGTTAAAATAAAGCTTAAAAACAAAGTTCAGAATAAATATATTGTACTTTAATATTAGGTAATTGGTTATAGAACTATAAATATTGCACGTTTTTTGGAATATTTTGTTCATTTAACATTAAAGACCTTAGTAGGTACCTACCTAATCATAATATTAATGATTATGAATAATAGTTAATTCAATTAACTACAAATCAACTCAATCTTGTAACTATGCAAATAGTTTTGTGACTATAAATGTACTAGGTACAACAAACCAAAACAGTTTAGATAAAAAGGTTGACATTTATTTATTGATACTTTTAAGTTTTACTTAATAATTCAAATTCATTTTTTATTCAAAATAAAATTATACCCTATTCAGAATAAGAATGCCCACTTTTGTACATGCATACTGTGCCATCCGAACAGTTGGACCCCTCGAGTAGTGCCAGGTGATTGGTTGCCAATCGATGTTACTCTTGGTTTTCAACGACCATCACCATATAAACAGAAGGGGCTGCTCGGTGTCGACCAGTTTTCGCCAGTCGAGTGAGCATTTTTATCCTGAATAGAGAGAGTATAGGAACATAATTCAGCTATCACTTCACAAATATTGCTTATGATTTATAAATTATGAGTCCAATTTTTAAATAAATTAGGTATTTGATTTTTATTTAATAATTAAAAAACTTGACTAACGTGTACTTAATATAATTTTTAAAAATATAGGTACCCGATAAGGTTGTTGTGACTACTTTTTCCTTAATTTTTGTTTTGTTTTTCCCTGCACTTATGAAAACTATTGAGAATTTTAAATTTTGACCATCCAAATGTACCAACTAGATTTACTTTCCAACACTTTGCAACATGGAGTACTTGAAAGGTGAAACACATTTGTAGCTTGAAAAGCATAGTGTAAGACATTCCAAAAAAAAAAGATGCAAATGCATAATTTACAAAGCATTAAAATAATAATTACATATTTTTGAGTTTATATGATTATTGATATTAATTAATTTTATTATTATAGGTAATATTACAAAATACAGATTCCGCTATTAAAATGTTGACACAAATAAGGTAAATATTACAAATTTAATGGCTTATTCAATTATTCTAAATTCTAAAAATACTGCTATCTATCTACTCCATAAATTTATAACTCATCTTTGTCACAATTTATTAAGTAATTTATAAATTGCTTGGACGAACTTGAATATTCTAATGAGGAAACTACGCTTACTACTTGTAAAGCTAATAATTAACTGAATTGTATGTTGAAATTTGAATTTTTAACTACATAAGTTTTGCTGAACTATTTTCAATTACTTTGCCTCTTTCTAAGCTACTGAAAAATCAAAATTTGGAATATTTTCAATCATTGAAAATGGTTAAAACTATTGTAGAAATGTTTGAAAATAAAATAAAGAATGATGTTCAAAGTTTTAATTTAATTTATACCAAACCATTAATAAATATATTTAAGGTCAACAATAGGATAAGATAGATTAAATGGATTTAATGCTCCTTGATATTATTAAAATATTACTCCAGAGGAAGTTATTGAAGAATTTAGTAAAAACATTCAAGAAAATTACAGTTACAATATATATTATAAATTAAAGTTATTTAAGTTATCTAAGTTTATATTCAATAAATACTGATGTTAGAAAAAAAAAAATTGGCACTAACGAATAACGTAGAAAATAGAATCGTATAACCAATATTAATTTTTTTTTTTTGAGCACACTGTTAAAATTTCTTGAATCCGCTCCTAGTAGAGAGTGTCTTCATTAAAAGTCAAATCAAAATATAGTTTCTTCATTTATAAAATAGAACTATATAATATATATATATTTTTTTTAAATTCTAGGTAATTCTAAATATTTAATGATTCATATTTCATTTTTCAGATATCGATCTGATGATTACCAATATATTCAGAACAGTATTATACCTACAATGCATTTTCAACGATCTTTACCAAGACTTCCAGTTCCAGAATTAAAATCAACTTGTCAACGTTACCTTAAAGCACAACTACCTTTACTTTCCGAAAATGATTATTTAAGAACTAAAGATGTTGTAGAAAACTTTGTACAAAATGATGGACCTTTATTACAAGAAATGTTAAAAAAAAAAAATAACTTAAACAAAGACACCAGTTATATTACTAAAGATTGGTTTAATATGTATTTGTCCGAAAGAACCCCATTACCAATTAATTACAATCCATTATTGGTGTTTAAACAACTCGATAATGCATATAATAACCAATTACTAAGATCTACTAATTTGTTGATATCATCACTAAGGTGAGAATTAATATATATAAGTTATGTAAAATAGATACCAATAACAAAATGCTTTTTAAAATTTTAATAATGATTAAATAATATAAATTATATTTATACACATACCTACTGGTAAAATGGATTTAAAAATTGTTCATTATAATGGATAACAAAATTAAAACTTTCAGTACAAATTATTTCATGTTTATAATAATAACAATTAAAATAATAAATAATTATTTTATTTAGAAAATCAAAAATTATACACTGTTAATTTTAATTTATTATAATGACAATAAAAGTATTTTCTAGCATAGATTGTAATTCAAGTTCTGATTAAGTAATTAATAATAATAATTTTAAAGATAATATATTATTAGACATTATATTATATTATATTATAATACAAAATTGATCTGTGAAAAATTAAAGGTTTTGAGGTACACCTAACCACTATAGCGCATTGACAATTTTTCCGTGGCAATGCACATTAAAATTTAACTCACTTTGTGGATATATTAAATGCGATAACTATTGCAAGAAATTGAGAGCTTCCATCTATCAACATCTAAATATCATTAAATAAAAATAGGGTTAAAATAGGTAACCACTCTGCTATATGTATAGTAGGTGTCAAGTGTATCTTGTCATCGAGTAGGTCACTGTAATGTATGCGCTCAATTTGAATTCAATGATAAACATTAGAGGTATCCACGAACATATATTTAAATTTATACAAAATAACTAAAATTGCTATTTTTTAATTAAATATTCAATTTCAACTATACAAACAATTTTGCACATTTACTTTTTACTTTTTACTCTATTCAGTATAAGAAAGGTATTGTGCAGCGACTGGTTTTCGTCCTGCGGCGGTTAGATGCTTCTCCCACTTGGTTCTGAATTCAGAACGAAGCCATGCTCATGCTCACACGACAGCCGTCCGGTACCTTTCTTATTCCTAATAGAGTATATTTTAGCTTTTGACTGGGCAAACAACTTTTTATTTAATTATATTTTACAATATATATTTGTGGGATTACAATACAATTTTTTTTTTCCTTAAATAACAGCTTATGGTGAACTTATTGAACTTGTATAACATTTTCAAATATTACATAATATGAATAACTACATAATAATAAGTAATTCGTCGACATTTAAACTTAAAACACTTATAAAAAAATATTGTGAATTTATGTTTAACTCTTATTTATTTACGTTTTTAATTCAGTAATAAGAACTTATGGGGAACTGTGTATTCAATTTTTAAGTTTTTGACCTAGAAAACTATTTTTTATCAATTTTTATAAATTATAGCAAATAATAAATAATTTAGCTCAAAAACAATTAAAATATCTTGGAAATTATATGATGCATAGAAAATATAAACATTTAGAGAAAATTTTAAATAATTCAAAATGTCTCCTTTTTCCCATTATTTAGAATTTTTGATTAGCTATCAGAAACCATCCTCAAAGTTGAAGATTATAATTTTCTACTATGAATTGTGTACACGTACAGCAAAAAAAATACACATCTTGTAAAATCAATACATTCCTCCCTTCGCTTGGAATCTAAAATCAAATAATAAATAAATACAACCCCCTATTATTATTATTATACAATTATTTAAATTAATAAGTATATTTAATAATATACAAATAGTTATCAAAATGAATATAATCCTAGGGAGGACTGCTCATAGGTGTGTCTAGGGGTGTGTATCACGTGTGGATATTAACCCCCCATAATTATTGATGACTATTTTGTGCATGTAAATAGTAATAATAGTAATAATTTAATGTCTAAAAAATCTAATAAGATTATACTTGTGAATTGATAGGTATAATTCAATTATTAACTATATTTACTAAAAAAACAAGTCAATATAAACAACACTACCCTGTATAATTGTTTTTAACTTAACATCAATATGTTGAAACTGTCATGAATATTAAATATATTATATTATCATTTAAAATTTAGATTTTACAAGTCATTAAATGCAAATATATTAGAACCAGAAATTTTTCATATCAGTCCAAAGAAAAGTGATACAATCCAATTTAGAAAATTAATGAAGTATCTTCCAGAATCAATTAGTTGGTATGGAGCCTACATGTATAATGTAAGTATATTAAAGATTTAATACCGTGTGTAGAGCCGTAGCAAGGTTTATTAGCGCTCCTAGCCATTTAACATATTTCTGCCCTTGTACAATTTTTAAACCCCCTACCACCAAAAAAACATTTGAAAGATTATATTTTTATAGTCAATTCACTCTAATATCAAAACTGACAGCACCCTATTGAAACTAACAAATAGAAATTTCCTATGTCAGATGCTTGTAAGACGAAGACAACACACTCTTAACTAACCTAGTTAACACATAATATTTCTGAAAACATATTTTGATCTGCCGTGAAGCTTACTTAAACACAACTTTCTTACATTTTCATTTAAACGTTTTGAGATTTATTATTATTAAAATGTTGAGCTTTCTAAAACTCATTCTTTAGTGGACTTCATGACAAATTTAAATATGTTTTCAGAAGTTATATAAGTATTAGTTGGATAAGTATTTTAAAGTAGACACAGCAGTGATAAAATCCGCTTTAGGTAAAACCATATTTGGGGTGAACAAAATTAACTTATTTATAGTTTTTAACACAAAACATTACAATATTATTTAGATATTTTTAGTTTTCATTTTGTTACTAGAGTTATCTACCAAGAACTCCACAAGAATTTAGATTATTTAAGTGTTATAGTAATGAAGTTTATTCATGATATTCGAAAAATATGTACCACCTTTTATGTGTATTAAGTATTTAAGTGTTATATTATACTATTATTATAATGTGCTCCTCATTCATTAAATGTCGATGTTGAACAATATATATTAATAGTACCTGTATAATTTACTGTGTATATTCAGTGTATTATATTGTATATTGTATTGATATCATTTAACATCATTCAAAAAAATTGCAGGCTTATCCTTTAGATATGTCTCAGTATACTTCTTTATTTAATAATACTCGAATTCCAATGACTAATCAAGATGTCTTACACAATAATACATCTGGAAAACATATTGTTGTTATGAGGCGAGGACATTTTTATAAATTTGATGTTCTGGATGATCAAGGTACTTATTCATAAGTAATAATTTAATTTAATTTGCGATCAATAATTATTGACTAATACTTTTATTTTACATAATATGTACATTTAGGTAATATATTAGAACCTCAGTTGTTATTATCCAAAATTCAATATATTTTGAATGATGACATTGCTCCATCTAATCATCCAATCGGGATTTTAACAACCACTGAACGTAATAATTGGGCTGATTTAAGAAATCATCTTATCAAGTTAGGAAATGAAGAGTCTTTGCGTATAATAGATGATAGTCTAATTATGATTGCTCTTGATGATGAAAAACCGGGTTCAGATCCAATATCTTGTGTTAAGCAATTTCTACATTCTGACGGAATCAACAGGTTGCAGCAATAAACAATTTAAAAATTACATGTATAGAAAAGTTACATGTACATGTCTATTGAGAATATTTATTTACAGGTGGTTTGACAAGTCATTTACATTAATAGTATGTGCTGATGGAACATCAGGATTAAATTTTGAGCATTCATGGGGCGATGGAGTTGCTGTGTTGAGATATTTTCAAGATATTTCTAAGGATACTACAGACTTTCCAAGATGTCATCCAGAAAATTTAAATCAAGTATTGGTATCACCAGATACATTAGGTGTGAAGAAATTAGGTAAATAATATATGCAGTATTTTCAGTATATACTTTAATAAAATTAGTAGTTGTTAAGAGGATGCACCCATACCCATGCATTTGTTGTCTCTATCTCACACATGTACAACATAGCAAATTTTCATTCACTAGTTTCAATAATGTGCTGTTAATTTTGATATTATTATGAATTCACCTATCATCAAACTTTTAGGTATGAACATTATCTGTGCTTAAACGTTGGAAATTTTTCAATATTTTAATTTTCTAGCTAGGCATAAATATTTTTAATTTGTAGTATTCTTCCTTGAAAATTAAAATATTGAAAAATCTCTGACGCTTAAGGAAAGATAATGTTCTTACATAAAAGATTGATAATATGTCAATGCACTCTACCATCAAAACTAACAGCACTCTATTGAAACTAGTGAATGAAAATTTGCTGTCTTGTGTAAGATGGAGACAACAAATGTATGAGTAGTGTCCTCTTAACACTCCTACATTAGTTTTCATTGTATAATGCACTGCAATTGATTTCCTTTTTAATTAGAATGCAAGTGTAACTCTGTACTTTGTAAGTAATTTTGAGAAAAGAAAACAGGTATCAGATTGTTATGTATATTATTATACTAATTAAATTAATGTATGTTATTATAATTTTTAAAAAAATAGTAATACTGTTATTATTTATTTTTATCTATGAATGTTTCATGGTTATGAACACGGTAATAATTCTTGTTGTGAAATAGTATTCTAGACCTTTAATACTTAAGGCTTTATTAAACAAAAACGTGGTGCACATTATTACATTATTACACAATAAACTACATGACATTGCAACTTATAATATTATTATGAAACAGATAAAGAATATAGTTAAGATATAATAAATAGGAATATAATAGATAAGATAACAATATTACTTTATCACATTCTCCCTAGCATAGAAAATACTAATTATTAATTAGTGACATAGTCTTTTAAGTATTTAGGGGTTGATTTATTTCTGGTGGTTCTCCGAGGTCCATCAAGTTCATTTGATGTTCCTTCTGTACTAGCATCTGTTTGAATCATCTCTTCCTTTGGCTCACTTGTGGTTGGAGTGTCTTGAAGTGTTGTTTTTGGATCTATTCTGTCTGAAGGTTCTTCATATAATGTTCTGTCACCCACAGGTGCTAGATCTCTTAACGAAACATTTGACTCTCTACCGTTTTCATAGCGTACTAAAGCGTATTCAGGATTTACTTCTACTAAATCCACTTCTTCCACTAATGGCTCGTACTTTGAAGCACGTACATGTTTCTTTATGAAGACTTTCCCGGGGCAGCTGAGCCATGACGGAAGTGTTCCACCATTTGAAGAGCGCCGAGGATGAGCGAAAAATCGTTCGTGTGCCGTACAATTGGTAGCAGTACATAGCAAAGACCGAATGGAATGTAAGGCATCAGCTATTACAGCTTCCCACTGTTCTAATTTCAATCCTCTTGTTTTTATAGCCAACTGGACAGTCTTCCAGATAATTCCGTTATACCGTTCGACCTGACCATTCCCTGCGGGATTATAGGGCGTTGTACGGCTAGTGGCAATGCCTCGGGTACACAGGAAAGTTGTGAGCTCTTGAGAGAGAAAAGCTGCTCCTCGATCTGAATGAATATATGCTGGCATACCAAATATAGAAAATAGGTAGGACAGACACTTTATCACTGTGGCTGAGCTCAGGTCCCTGCATGGTATGGCAAAAGGAAAGCGTGAAAACTCGTCTACGATCGTAAGGATATAATTATTTCCAGTCTTAGATGGTATCGGTCCCTTGAAATCAATATTCAATCGCTCGAATGGTGAAGTAGCTTTTATAAGATGACCTTCTTGTTTTTTGTAGAACCTTGGTTTTACTTCTGCACATACATTACAGCTACTGGTCAACTTCTTTATATCTTCAATTGAAAATGGTAGATTCTTACTCTTGATCCAGTGGAACATTCTAGTAACACCTGGATGACATAGAGATTTGTGTAAATCAGATAACATGTTAGAGTTATTTACAACAGCGCATACTCTTGAGAAAGTGTCAGCAACAGTGTTTTCCTTTCCTGGGCGATATTGTATGTCAAAACTAAAACAAGAAAGCTCAAGTCTCCATCTAATAATTTTATCATTTTTAATTTTACTTGAATGTTTCAAGTTAAACATAAAAGATACGGCTTCTTGATCCGTTATAAGTTTGAACTGCCTCCCTATTAAAAAATGTCTCCATTTCCTTAATGCCTCTACAATTGCATAAGCTTCTTTTTCTATAGATGGGTGTTTCTTTTCACAATTCGAAAGACTTCTTGAGAAAAATGCTATAGGGCGCCCATTCTGACTAAGTGTTGCTGCTAACGCATGGTTTGACTCATCGCTCTCAACTACTAAGGGCTCATCACCACTGATAGAACTTATTACTGAATTGGCAATGTCTAGCTTGATACTTTCAAAATCAGCAATTGCAGATGATGACATAGGGAATGACTTACAAAGTATTAGATTATGGATTTTGTCTGAGAACTTTCTAACCCACTTTGAATAATGAGAAAACATACCTAAAACCCTCTTTAATGATTTGGCGTCCTTGGGTGGAGGTAGATTCAAAAGAGGCTTCAATCAATCTGGGTCTGGACTTACACTTTTATTCGTGATCTGGTGTCCAAGAAGTGTAATTGTTTGCGTAGAATACTGACATTTATTTTCATTTAGTATGAGTCCATAATTTTTCATTGCATTGAGAAATTTATTCAGGTTCAGGTCATGCTCAGACTGATTTTTTCCACATATTGTTATATCGTCCAAATAAGCGTTTACTCCATTTAGGTTCTCATTTAATATTATTTTATCCATCACTCTTTGGAAACAGGCCACTCCATTTGTCACGCCAAAAGGGATTTTCCAAAAATGATAAAGGCGACCAGCCGCCTCAAAAGCTGTATAATCTCTTTCCTCCTCGTGGATCGGTATTTGATGGTATGCATTATGTAAATCTATAGTACTATATATACTATATTGGGCTACTTTGGAAACTAGGTCATTTATATTTGGTAGAGGATAGGCATCTAACATTGTGAACCTATTAATTGTTTGAGAGTAATCGATTACCATGCGTTTTTTATGGTTTTCAGTTTTTGTAACTAATATCTGGGCTCGCCATGGCGACATACATCTCCTCAATAACATTTTCATTCAATAATTTAATTATTTCATCCTTGATAAATGTATAGTCCTCCTCAGAATATTGGCGTAATTTGACAGCTATAGGTTTGCAGTTGGAAGCTATGTTCTTGAAAAGGCGAGGAGGTTCTATTACAAGTGAGGGCATGGGTTTTATTACATTTGGTTCTATTGCTGTTGAAGACATATTACAGATTAATAAAGGGGATTTAGACCCGCCAAAGGTAACTTCTACTTTAGAGTGTTTCTGTAATATATCATGACCTATGAGAACATCAGTGCATAATTTTGACAGTACTGATAATTTGACATCTTTATACACGTGCCCTTGCAATGATAAGTCTACGCAAACAAACCCTTTTAAGTGTGATGAATGCTCTGCAGATGCTAAAACTACCTGTCCCTTCTTAGGAAATACCTTTATTTTATGATGCTGGACAAATTCATCATCTATGAAGCTACTTGAACCTCCAGTATCCACTAGACCATTTGCTTCCATATTATTGACTCTAACTTTAATAACTGTTTTTGATAGAGCACCCGGTAAATTTGCAGAGATGCAGGCTAGATTTGCAATAAAAGCCGAAGTAGTTGTATTAGACTTATTTGAGTTTTGAGTTTTCTTTAATTTGCAAACTTTGGAGAAATGACCTTTTTTGTCACAATTCCTACACACAGCTTCCCTAGCTGGACAAGAGCTACGCGGATGCCGGTCATACCCGCAAAAAAAACATTTTTGTCGGATGGCTGCAATCATTGATTCAGATTGTTCGTCTTCTGCTTCGGTATTTACATGATTTATAGATTCTACAGGCATAGAGTAGGCTTCAGACTGCTTTTGTGCCATCTCTAGCGCTCGTGACTGCATCACTGCTCGTTCTAGACTTAGTTCGTCGTTTTCTAACAGACGTTGACGGATGCTATTAGACATGATACCATTAATGAATGCGTCTCTTATGTACTCATCCTTATACTGTGAGGGACTAACGGCTTTAAATGTACATTCCTTAGCTAAAATCTTTAGAGACTGCAAGTATTGGTCAATAGATTCACTTGTCAGTTGTTTCTTTGTGGCTAATAGATGTCTGGCAAATATTTCATTTTTAGGCTTTATATAAATACCATCTAGAATTTTAATAGCATCACTGAAATCTTTACAGTCGCTTATATAGTCTGAGTGGCTTAAAAAGTTAATGAGTACCTTTAATTTATCCTCCTCTTTTAGTTTGGCCTCTGCAATATAATTTTGGAACAATTTCTTCCAATGAGACCACTCCTTGGCTGCTGTGGGTGAATTTTGGTCTGCTTCAAAACGATCGGGTCTCAGCAGTTTTTCCATATTGATTAATAAGTTTTTGTTTAATAAATTGTTGTGAAATAGTATTCTAGACCTTTAATACTTAAGGCTTTATTAAACAAAAACGTGGTGCACATTATTACATTATTACACAATAAACTACATGACATTGCAACTTATAATATTATTATGAAACAGATAAAGAATATAGTTAAGATATAATAAATAGGAATATAATAGATAAGATAACAATATTACTTTATCACAATTCTAATAACAGATTGCATAAACAATAATTAAATATTTAATGAATCAATTTTGTTATGCAACTCGGCATTATAGTATTATACTTTCAGTATGTTCTCTACTTAATTTTTATAAACATATTTTTTAATAATATTTACCTTTAGTTAAATATTTGTTTTAATTATTGATCGTACATTTTATAGGTTTTTGATTATTTTTAGTAATTGGACTGGATTGTTGAATGTTTGTTGCGTAATCCAAACTGTGATGTTCTGGTATAAAATAGTTTTTTTCTCTATAAGTGTTTTTAGACTTTTAATTAAAAGTTTCTCTAAGAGCTTATACCTATTTGAAAGGAGTGGAATTGGTTGTTAGTGAGACATGTGACATTGTCCTGTTTCCTGGTTTAAATAACTTGATTACTTGTGCCCATTTCAGTTATTCATGGATACATTATGGCCTTGTTTGTTAGCTCAAAGTACTTTTATACTGATTTAATTTTTTTCCGTAGCTTATTTTTGGTTTATGTCATCTATTTCTGTAAAAATGTCTAATGGAGTAAAATATTTAATTTATTCACATATTACATTGAACTGTTGCCATTTCAGTATTTTGCAATGTCGAGCTTAGAGTCTATGGAGTTTAGAAGAAATATATGTTCAAATTGTTCAAAATTATGAGTATATATTTAAATTTTTTCTTGTTCTAATGTTCTCTCATTTTTCCCGTTTTCTTTGTGGATGGATGGTACTTTAACACAAGGTCTCACATTATGTCTTTTATTTGTTGAAGAGAAAACACTCAGATATGATTTGAACTTTTCATTTTTCATGGAATAATAAATTAGGGAAATATTTTCCCCTTATATTAAAATTTATTTATCCTTATGGCAAATAATATTATTATGTTTATTTTATGTTAATAATTTATAACCACTCTAATCATAATTTGATGTTGTAGAATTCAATTTGGACGAAAAAATCAAATGCGATATAATAAAAGTAAAGAACGAATTCAAATGTAAATATGAATCTTTGGATATTAATTACTTTGAATTTTTCAATGTTGGTAGAAAAATGTGTAAAAAATTTGGAATAAGTGCAGATTCTTTGATGCAATTATGTTTCCAGGTAAATGCAATACAATTGAACCCATATATGTTTTAATTAAAACCAACTATATAAATAATATCATGTAGTATATAAATTAATTTAAACGTATTTTAGCTAGGCCATTATAAATTACATAAAAAACATGTTGGTACTTATGAATCATGTAGTACAGCAGCATTCAAACAAGGACGGACAGAAACTGTAAGACCATGTACTACGAAGACCGCTGTAAGTTTAATTAATAAAATTCTAATTGAAATTAAAAAAAATATTTACTGTACATATCTGTGTAAAATATTTTTTAGGATTTTTGCTATGCTGTTTCAAGTAATAATAAGCCCTCTGACAATGACTTAGTGAACATGATAAAACAATGTTCGGTTGAACACAGTAAGCTTGTAAAGGAAGCTGCAATGGGTAATATTTTATTGAAAAAAATAAAATTGTTTAATATATTTTATATCTTTTTGTTTTCAGGGCAAGGGTTTGATCGTCATTTATTTGCTCTACGGTTATTAGCTAAAGAAAGCAATTTAAAGATTCCAGATTTGTTCACTGATCCCGCTTATGGTCAGATTAATCATAATATTCTATCTACTTCTAGTCTAACTTCAGATTATGTATGGTTAGGAGGATTTGGTCCTGTTGTAAAAGATGGTTATGGTATTGGGTAAGTGTATCAATAAAATATAATTTTTTCAAGATGAATTTGTTTTAAATTATTTTAAAATATTGGACTTTTGTATTCGATTTGGACTTCACATTTTCAAATTTGCAAAACTAATGTGGCTATGTTATGAAAAATAAATATTTAAGTAAATCACTACTTAAAACTATGTTTTAAATATGTGACATATTGTTTATACTTCATTCCACATAGTTTAATTTACTTAAAACAGCAATGAGAGTAATGGGAATTTAGTTCCTCGCTATCATTAGTTAAAAAAAAAAAAAAATAAGATATTTGGACATTTAATAAACATCTCTTTAATTTTAGATATACAATACTTGAAGACTACTCAGGTGCTATTATTACTAACTACAAGGAACATTCTGATGGAGATACATTCAGATGTGCATTAACTCAGAGCTTAAATCAAATTCTTGATATTTTAAAAACTTAGTTTATTGTACAAATTGATATTTCTTAGTTTGTGTTTAATGTCTTCACTCTTTATTTTCAATGGATTATTATTTTTATTAAATAGTATACATGTTTTTAGATCATAAACTGATTTAATGTAAATGCATAAATTCTTTCTTGAATAAACCTAGAAAGAACTTTTATACATTATAACTATTTCATTCTAACAATATACTATTAAAGGAAGCTTTTTAATTACTGTTTACTGTAACAATAAAAATTTGAATCTCTGGCATATAAAATGTAGGCCTAAATAATGGTATTAAATATCTCTCAATACAAACTACATAATATTTTACAGCATATGATATTACATTTTTATTTTATTTTTTTATTTAAATTAATATCGAAAGATTAATGGGCCTCACTGAGGAAAACTCGTATGCAATTTGCATATTTATATGTAAAGAGTATAGACCAGATTTATATTCTCTTAAAAATTAAAATACCTAAAATATGATGATAATATTCTCTAAAAACCCTTCAAATATTCTCATTATATTCTCTTAAAAATTTAAAATATATGCTTCAATATGCAAAATATTCAAAAATTTGCAAAAATAATTAATAAACAGCATTATTTGCTTAAATATGCATTTAAAAAATTTTTTTTTCTACATTATTATAATAGTGAGGTATTAATTACCTATTCTAATGGAATACTATTGCACTTTAGTAAGAGTTAGAAATGAAAAAAAAATTATAAATGTTCTAAACATTTTTTTGTAGGCACTGTAATGTTAAAATTTAAAATAAATATAAATTTTTCTCACAATTTAGGAAATATTCCAAAATATGCTAAATGGGTTAAATATTCTCTAACCCATGTAATATTCTCAAATATGCAAAAAAACTTTTTTCTACGCTTTCAGAATTGAACGAATCATCCACGTATTTTACTCTCATAAGACTGCATTGACCCTGCAATGATATGTAAAAACATATAAATCCGGTCTTTATTTATATGTATTGGACTCCGTGTTTGTTTTTTTTCCAAACATTGTGTATAAAATGTAGATTTATATTTTATGTATATTGAATAATTATTATATGTATTAAGTTTGTTTAAGTAAGATATATTACAAGTTTCAACAATATTTGAGCTTATTATGTTTTTTCATCATTAGATATATAAATTTGTTATGTTAAATTATAATATTATTATGATAACATAAGATTCACAAATATTTTTATAAAAATAATTATACCTACCATAATATTATTATCATTAGGGCTCGGGATTTTATGAATTTATTATACTAAAATTATTTATATTTTAATTTTGAACTATGTATGGCATTATAGGTTCTTAATAAAAACATTATATTTAAAAGATTCACAATATTTTTTATGAACATCTGAAGTTAATTCATCAAAATCACGGACATTTGCAAATGGTTTTTATTTAGAAATTAGATAAAAATTAAATAGATAGAAGTTAGATAAAAATGTTTCTATTTATATCTAAGATTTTAAATTTGAAAATAAGATTCCCCATAAATTGTTATAATATCAATCAAACAATTTTAAAGCTACATTGCTGTTTTTTTTTAGCTTTTTTTTTTTATTATTATTATTTCAGAAAATGTACAATCTATATAAATAAAACACAATGAGTAAATGTGATATATGTACAACAAAACAATATAATATAATAACAGAATGGCAGGATAAGGGAGGCCATCCAATGATAGAACCCTTCAGATTTAAATTAAACATAATTTATTGATTTTTTTTTTTTTAATCATAAAAGATCACAACACTAGCGTCTTTTAAGAGGGGTTTGTCAGGAAGTGTACGCGATGATAGGTGGGAGATAAGAGGATTTTGATGTAGATATAATTTTTTGTGAAATTTAGTGTAGTATTGTTTAGTTTGTTGTTCAACAGTTTGTATTTTAAAGTCCTTGTGAAGTGTATTATTTATTACGTACCACGGGGTAGATGTTATGAGACGGAGGGATATGGACTGGAATGCTTGGATAGTTTGTAGTTGGGACGGTTTCGCACTGCCCCAAACTTGAGAGCCATAGGTCAATATGAGTATTAAAAAAGATTTGTATATTGTTAACTTTGAATTTATAGAATGTTTGGATTTAAGTATTGGGCAAAGTATGTGTAGACCATAATTTAATAATTTTCTTTTAGATTTAAGGTGTGGGCCCTAAGTTAGTCGTTTATCGATTATGATCCCAAGATATTTTACCTTTGGTGTAATAGGAATATCAACACCTTGTAGTTGGAGGGGAGGGGAGTTTTTTTTTCTGAGTGTGAATGGGACATGAAATGATTTTTCGGGGTTTATTTTGACTGGCCATGTTGTTGCCCAGATACTTATTAAATCGAGGTGGTTTTGAAAGAAGCTGTCTCAGGATCTGTGTCGGAAGTAAGAATGGCTGTATCACCTGCATAGGTTGCGATAATTGTGTTAGCTGTTGTGGGAAAGTCAGATGTATATATAATAAACAGGTCAGAGGAGAGATCGCTACCTTGCTGGACTCCAGCAAATACTGGGAAATATGGAGACGTTGAGGTGAATTGCCTTACTGAAAATGTTCGGTTGAGAAGATAAGAGCGGATTAACAAATAGTAAGGTACTGGGAGGAATTTTTGGAACTTATCATCGTGCCACACGCGATCAAACGCCTACGCAACATCTAGGAAAACTCCAGGGCAGTATTTTTGTTTTCAAATGAGGATGCTATTTTGTCGGTGAGACGGTGAATTTGGTGTATTGTTGAATGATTAGTTCTGAAACCAAATTGTGAGTGAGGTATTATATTATGTGATTTTATTATTGGTTTTATTCTTTTCAAGATAATTTTCTCAAATATTTTTCACAAAGTAGGAAGAAGATGTTAAATGTTTTGGTTTATGAGGTTTGTGTACAAGGATAACTATGGAAAACTTCTATGTTAAAGGGAAATAAGAGAGCCTCAACATGGAGTTGAAAATGAATGTGAGTAGAATAATTGTTTTATTTGGTAGATGTTTGAGCATTTTGTTTGAAATTAGATCATATCCAGGTGATTTTCCTATTTTTAATTTGTCAATTATTTGTTTAACTTCATTCAGAGAGGTGTGCTTTTCTGGGAGATTCTAGGTAGTGGACTATTTAAAAAGTTTTTTATTGTGTTTAAATGTTCAGGATCTGGATTTATATTTGGGTGAGGAGTAAATATTTTTGAGAGATGGTTCCCAAAAAGATTGGCCTTATCAATGTCAGAAACAGCTAGTACACCATTTGGATCATTTAATGGAGGAATTTGTTCTTTAATTTTGAGCATGTGTTTCATGGTTTTCCAGAGGGAACCGTCTTGGATAGTAAGAGATTGATATTTTTCCTGAAAAAATTCTGATTTGAATTTTTGTATTTTTTTTTTACTAAATTAGATAATTATATGCATTTTAACTGAATTATTTTGTAGTTAAAAATTAAAAAATGTTCAATTTTTATAGCTAAGGATTAAAAATTAGGTTTCACTGTATTTAGTTCATATTGTAAACAAAAACTGAAAAAAATAAAAATGTATGAACTTGCTTTTGTTTATACATATTCAAATTTCAAATTTGGATGAAATAAAATATTTAAACAATGAATTATGTTGTAATTTAAAAATATTGTTCGTGGGTACTTAAAACTTTTATTAGTTAAATTATATTGTTTACACACACTTACAGTTTGATAGGTATTTTTTTCAGAAATTAATTTTACATACATTATTACTAATGTCTAATAGTAAATTAAATTACTTTAATAGCAATAATATCATAAAATAGGTAGGTATACTTAGTTATAATAGAAGATTTGTCTTCACTTAGAATCGTTTTTCGTATACACTGATTTTATATAGTTGTATTAATATTTAAAACATCGATTACAGTGACCCACTTGACAACACCTATTGTACAAGAGAGCGTTTTCTCACCTTTTTACCTTAGGCATTTATAATTTCACTAATAATGCTAAAAAATTGGTTTTTCATCTTGAACATTTTCAAGTCTTTTTACCTATTCTTACACTACACATAAACTTTTATTTAAAGTTAAGTCACACATTTTGAAATTACATCCACCAAAATAAAGTAATAAACAGAAATATATATACTTTTTAATTTTTCAAATCATTATTTTTTAAAAGAATTTCAATATTTTCAATACACATTGAAGTAGATGGATCGAGTTTGGCAGCAATATTTTTGATTTCTTGGAAGTATTGACCATAAAAATTAAGCTAAATTTAACCAAGTACTGAAGTACCCCTTCTAGTTACAATTTGTTGTGGAAAAAGGCATAGATTTGGGTGCATATTTTAAAATATGTATATTTCAATACACCTAGAACCTAAGCTTTTAGAAATTAATTTTTGAATGTAGATATTAATTTATTTATTAGTATGTACGTCCATTGCCCAATGTTTAGGTATACTATAGTTTATTTACTGTGGTTAGTTAAAAAATCAAAAAATATATAAGCACAGTTATATTTACAGGAATTTTAAATTCAAATTTGGACGTAATTACATATTAAAACCAAGAATAATGTTTTTGTTATTTGTTGTAATTTAAAAATATTATTTGTGGGTAAATGAAACTTTTAGAGTAGGTAGGTACCTATATTATTATACTTTATACACACAATGACATTTTCAAATGGAATTTTTTTGGCAAAGAAGAATTCAACCTACTGTAGTATAGATACTAGTGCCTAATACTAAAATGAATTACCTACATTAATCACAATAATATCATAAAATATAACTACTTGACGCGGCCCGCATTAGTAGCAAGTACAATGTACAAGCACTATAGCGACCAGTCTATCTTATTTCCAACTACCACTAAGGGATGCAAGCAATGCTACCGGGTTGACTTTCCCACTGAGCCGGTAACGGTAAGGGGGGACTGTGTCGCTTAAAGGTATGGTTTCGAATTTTGAAGTGAATATGCAGATGTAAAATATGAATATTAGAAAATGCACA